ACACGGCTAGGTCAAACTAACTAGTGACGGCCTCGGCAACTCTCGTATCTATGGCCTCGACCTCCACACCCATGACCACCACCCCTACCCCTACGAACAGACGGACCGGCGTCGAAGCTACGGTCAGTGTTGACGCGCTCGAACAGGCTTTCGAGCAACCCGACGAGGGTGCCGTGCGTACGGCGCTGGTCGACTGCGATGTTGTGAATCGCTCGACCCATGGACTCGAGGTTGTCGGGCAGCTGGCGGAAGTCGGACAGGGTCAACGTCTCGCGCTGATACTGTGGGTTCGCGAGAGGACGACGTTCGGCCTGGTTGACTTGTTCGAGCAGCACCAAGGTCTCGGACCACGCGATCGTAGGGTAGGGCGAACCTAGGATGTCTCCCTGGTTGCCATCGCGGTGAAAGACCTCGTCGAGGTAACGCATCAACTCGTCGATCTCGGGGAACGACCTAGGAGCAGGAAGCGTATCGTTCGCTAGCAGGATGGCCCGGCTGCGGGACTCGAACAAGAATCGCTGTTCGAAGGTCGGTTCGATGGTTCGAACGATAGTCTAAGTTCGGAGGCACGTACAATCATCCAACGGACTCCGTGGGCCCAAGCCAGCCACTCTCCGGGACTGTTGGCATCGTATCGCGGCTCGACAAGTCCCTCGGTCTTGAGGACCTCTAGGAGGCGGTAGTAGCGGGCAGCATACGCTTCGGAAGTTGGGTCGAGGTGCGGCATGTTCGTGTAAGTCAGGCGAACTCCTGCAGCTGTCTCATATCTTCGAGGACTGTCACCGGCCCCGGTTATGACCTTCGCCGTTCGGGGACGGTCGCCCGTTATGCGGAACCTGCGGAAGGCCGAGTTGGATTCTCTCATGTGTTAGTAGGTCCGGGTCGAGCGTTGTGACATTCTCCGATTGGCTGCTTTCCTTATCTCTTTCATTCATCATGTCTTGTATTTCTCTTGGCTCTCTTGGTCTTCGGACCGTATTTTCCTGTATATACTCTGGGACTTGTTCCCTTCGAATCTCAGAGACCCCCTTACCCTCTCAATCTCACCTCGCACCGGCGAGGTTCGTCAGTCAGCCAGTACGTTCGAAGTCAGCAAGTTCGCCAGTCAGTCAGTACGTTCGAAGTCAGTCAGTCAGTTCGCCAGTACGTTCGCCAGCTCGTAGTTGCCCCGAGAGGCTCTACACTTCTTCTCCTGCCGTCGCTCGCCTTCCTTGTCACTGTTCGTTCGACACGTCTGTCGAAACTCCCCCTCCTACCTTCGAGGCTTAGCCCTCGTCTTCGAACAGTCTTCGACATCTTCGAAGCTCCCCCACGTCGTTCGGAGTCTTGTCCGTCCTCCTCCTTCTTACCTAGACCACTGTACAGTCCCCCGTACATCTCATAGACGCAGAGGCCTCGCATACCACTGCTCGACCTCACGGTTGGGTTTTTGTGTGGCTTTTGTGTTCTTTTCGGTCGCGTCATCGTCCAGTAGTCAGTCCGCGGCGTCGACCATCGACGTCTCCGCGGCATCGTTCAGCGACTTGCCAGTGGCATCGTCCAGCAACCTGTCCACGCAAAATGTGGCCAGTGACTTGGCGTCCATCAAGGAATGGGAACCGTATCGTCTCCGCAAGGAATTCCGGATAGGAACTTCTCACTGGGGCCAGACAGTTTGGTACAAGCTCTCTGGGCACGATGCCATTTCTGAGCCACCGGTGTCCCTTGACGCCGACCCCGCGGATCTCTTCTTGTACGAACACAAAGGTCAGAAGAGGGTGTACATGTGGATCTGCGAAGCTCGCGGCTCGTGGCGACGGATACGGGTGGGGGACCCTCATCCGGTGTTAGAACATCGCCGTTTCCATATTCAACAATCTGGCGAACCCAGCTGGGTGACCAAAGAGACGCTCAGTGGGTATAACAGTCGGAAAAAGAGGGAGCGTCGATAGAGTAGCAAGTCTGTATGTCCTTCATGTTTGTATGCCCGTATGCGACTCGCGTCTGTGAGCCTGTATGCCATCTGTATGCTTTATGCCACTCGCGTCTATATGCCACTCGCTTCCGTGTTGGACTATCCGAGTCGCACAAGCAGGAAGCAAGCACGCAGTACTTGGCATTTACCCACTACGCTCGTGCTGTATCGCGTGCAAGCTGTAACCGGCGCAATTGGCCTCGAGTGGCTCTGGCGCCTCTCCGTTCTCGACAGTACGTCCATGACTGCAACACGGGCAACCATCATAATCGCCCAACTGAACACCAAATCGCGCGCAAACCTCAAGCTGAGCCTCTGCCATGACTTAGCTAGTAGCGCCACGGCAGCCTTTGAGGCATCTCGTGCATCGAGTCTCGATGGCCGCTCGCCCTCTACCCCGAGCCACTCCGGAACGATCGGCCTTTCTGCTTTCGCAACCCAAGGAAGGCAAGATCCATCCCGACGTCGAAGAGGAACTGGAGTAGGACCCGGTCGATGTGACGATGCCAGGGGATCTCTTGGATGGGACACCGGTCAACGGAGAGGATCTCTGGTACACGGTGCGTCGTGAAATTGTGAAGTCGTCTTTTTAAGGCTCATACCTCGCCTTAGAAGCGACTGAGGTTGACGGTCCAATGCGTTTGCCTCGGCTGCGCGGCCATTGAGGACGAGCGCACGAACATTGCCGCGTACCGTTTGCACGCCGTTTTTGCGCTTTACACGCTCGTAGTGGCGGCTCGCTCGGTGGGCGAGCTTGTCGACATCAGCGTGTACGTGCCCTCGACCATCCCGCTGGGGTTTTCTTACGCAACCCTCGCACAGTACATCGCCTCGCTCATCCTGGTCGCGACCACTCCTTGCGCGCCGCCACTGCACTTCCCGCCTGAGCAGATCTACTCGGAGAAGGTGATCGCGATGAATACGCGCGAGGAGAATGCGTGCGGAATCACGGGGGCGTCGTAGTCGGACACGCTCCTGTTCTCGTATACGACTGAGGTCGTCATGCTCGGGAACACGGCGGAGAGCCTCGAGACCGGCGACCTACCGATCGTGCCTGCGGACATGTGCGCGACGACGATGTCGGTCGCCGGTCTGTTCTACACCCGCACTGCTTCCTGCAGCGCGTCTTGCGCTACCTCGAGATGGATCCCGAGAGGAAGGACCGCAGTTGGGCCAGTACTGAGTGGGCGATGGACGTTAGCTTCAAGGTTTAGCTGAGCCTCGAGCTCATCGCGCGCCCAGTCTATCAACTACCCCCTTCGGTTCCAGCTCCAGGCACCGCCATCGAATGACCGTGTCTCGGCTGTACGACTAGGCTGCTCACTCGGGCGCGTTGATCCTTCGCGGCCGCAGCGCTGGCTGGGCGTGTGTGGATGTAGGACTGGGTGTAAAGTATGAGTATACGACGTTTTCAGTGCCCTAAGGGCGACACCCAGTCGCGCCTCTTGTGCGCTCTCCCGCTGTGGTGTCTACGGTACATCCTGCTTGTCGACGTCCTCCCGCCCACTTCAATCCTTCCACATCGCGCTGCCGCGCCGAGGTTGCAGGCAAGCTCTGAGGTCTTGCACGTGTTCTCGACGCGCAGATCTGTCGCTTGCGTCGGTAGAAACGCAACAGACGAGTAAGTGAGTACACGCAACTCTCCCACAAACAGTACATTACTTATCTGCGGTGGCTAGTCGACCAACGTCAGGATCAGGTACCAGATGGTAAAGCGACAGATGAGTACTGTCGCAGTATTCACTGACCTGCAAAATCATCGGTTGCAATGGATTGATAATTCTCATGAATTGTGTTGAATTCAGTACATAGGCTAGATGTACTGAATTTGAATGATTGTGCTGAATAGGCCACATAGGTTGGTTGCACAGGTTTTGTTGAATAGGCTGGTTGTACTGGTTTTGTTGAACAGGGTATACAGGCTGAAAAGACTACATAGGCTGGTTGTATTGATTATACTGACTTTGTTGAATAGGTTGTTTGTGCTGAATAGGCCACATAGGTTGGTTGCACAGGTTTTGTTGGTTGTACTGGTTTTGTTGAATATGGTATACAGGCTGAAGAGACTACATAGGCTGGTTTTGTTGGTTGTACTGGTTTTGTTGAATAGGGTATACAGGCTGAAGTGACTACATAGGCTGGTTGTATTGATTGTACTGACTTTGTTGAATAGGTTGTTTGTGCTGAATAGGTCTCATATTTTGGTTGTACAGGTTTTGTTGAACAGGGTATACAGGCTGAAAAGAAAGAGTACATTATTGAGAGTGTAGGCTGGTCTCCAGAGCCCAGAGTGTATATTTTGTGATTACTATGAGTCCATCTGATTGAGTTTTCAAAGTATATTCATCATGCTACTACTATATACATGTGGGCTATCATATAGTCATTCAATCTGAGGCCCAAGTAATGATCACATAGGAGTGGCTACCTTATCCATACTATACTTTTGTGCCCATTTTGATTTTCATACATAGATACATGTGAGCCTCAGTCTGAGGTTACTCAGGGGTCATTTTGAATATTACCCCAGTAAGACTTGGGTGGCCTCTGAATGACTCCTAGGGTTACATTGCAATTTCATACTGGAGACATTCAGAATGAAATCAAGATGATCCTCATATGCAAGTGGCTGCCTCATGCCAGCTATACTTGGGGTTCATTTTGATTGTGTTCAGCATGAGGCTTGTGTGGTACTCTTGGACATATGGTAAGTCTATATAGAATGTGTTCATAATGTTGACCTCGTTTTGCGGCCATGATGTGGCGTGATTCATTGTAAATTAACCCAACGTATTATCGGCTTACTTAATGTAGATAATATGCCGACTCTTTCACCCATATAATGCGCATGCTGCGCCTTGCTTCATTGGGTCACGTCTCCGGTGATTGTTCCATCACTGAAGTCCTTGCACCACGGAGGGTTACAAACCGCGTCACTTCACATAAATTTAACGGCGAACCTAAGTTAGCAGCGAAAGCCGAATTATAATACCCATGCGTCTCAACGGCCGCGCTAACAAAGCCTGTATTCACGCAGGCGTACAGCTGCATGGCAATGCGATCGATTACGACGTTATCCAAACGACAGACCCTCCAAGCGTAAGGCTCGTCAGGCTGTTATTACCAGGGTATGTATATGCAGTCCCAAGGGAAACGAAAGAAACAGCGACAAGACAGCGGGAACCATCCACTCAGTTTTGTGCGGGCTTGCGGCAGACGGCGAGGTACATTGGTGTGAAGAGCTATCAAACAGAACTGAGTCAACAATGCCGCTACAAGACGACGGAGGCAGCGTCTTACCTTTGTCCTGCCACCCTCGACGAGCGAGTCACCGGCAATCTTGAGGGCCTCACCGACCTCCCATGTCCCCTTCGGGACAAGACCTACCCGCTCAAGGGCCCACACACCGTAATGTGTCACAAGCTTGCCGCTCCAGCTCATCCGCCACACGGTGATGTAGTCCCACGCGGTCTGCGCCTTGAAGACGTCGCCCTCGAGCGGGTAGTACCACGGCACATCGTCCGGCCGGTCTGCGAGGTCCTCCTCGTGCTCGACGGCGAAGCCGACCTTGCGCATCGCGTCGCGCGCGTCCTTCAGCGGCCGCATAATTGGGATGCCGTTCCCGAGCTCGATCCGGTTCGCGAGCTCCTTGTGCGACGGGATCGACGGGTCCCAGGCGTCCGTCATCACCCACTCGTACACACCGAACTACCGGGCGCAGTGAGTCAACGCAGCTCTAGGATACGCACACAGCACAGCACGTACCACTCCTCCGGGCTTGAGGACCTTCATGATCTCACCGTACACGCCCTCGAACGCAGGCGCGTGCACGGTCGCCTCGATGGCGTACACCGCGTCGAACGTGTTCTCGCCGAACTGCTCCGCAAGCTTCATGAAGTCGCCCTTGACGAAGGACACCTGGCCCTCGAGGCCGGCCTCCTTCGTGTAGCGGCGCGCGCGGCCGATCTGGAAGTCGTTGTTGTTGAGGCCGACGACGTTCACGTCCGCGAAGCGTGCGATCTCGCGGGCGGGCCCGCCGACGCCGCAGCCGACGTCAAGCACGCGCATGCCGGGGCGCAGGCCCATCTGCGCGGCGAGGTAGTGCTCGTGGCGCGCGAGCCCCGCCTGGAACGCCTCGCCCTTGTAGAAGCGGCAGAAGTGGAAGGAGCGCGCCCAGCCGAACTCATACAGGTCGGTGGCGCCGTCGTAGTAGCCTGCATGCCACGTGAGCGGGTGCGCTGGAAGAGCGGGAGACGGTTTCACGCACCGTTGACGACGTCCGTGTAGCTGTCGACACGGTTGGCAGTGTCGTCTGCACCGTCCTTGGAGATGTCCTTTTGCCAGAACTTGGTGTAGTTCTCGATGCGCTCGTTCACGCGGCCGTCTGCCTGGGCGACCATGATCTGCAGGGGTGGACGGGAAGGCATCAGCGACACAACCTTAACGCCTGTGACATGTCTGATAAGCTTCAGAATGGAACTCACGTCTTATGAACGGTGATGAAAGAGCGACAAGGGGCAGGGATCGTGAGGGGATGATGGTCGAGAGCTAAGTTATATGGCTCGCTGGCCAGGAATTTTGGGCAACCGCACCATCTCGCTCCAGCCAATCACGTCGTGCCCCGGGCGTAAATTAGCCGACACGCTCCTCGCACCACCCGTCACCGTGCCTTTGCCACACCGATCCTCTATTGCCGCTGTAGTGTCATTCATCATACCGAGATCGCACCGAATAGAGCTCTGGCTGGCTCTGGACTGCCGCAGCGGTCAGCCCACCACGCTCAAAGTCTCAGACCACGGAGTCGCATTGATAAGCAAAAAGTACGACAATGGAACGAGACGGTCGTGAAAGGTCGTAAAGGGGCAGGATTCCAATCCAACGTAAGAAGCAATGTATGCGTGAGGCTGTAGAAATGTTTGCGTAGAGAACGGGCAATGAGAGAGCTAAGTAGGATATGAATTTCAACAACAACGACCACCCTGCGAATGCAATACGATTCTTTAGTTTGAGAGCATCCTCCGTTGGTCGTCGAATTGAGATGCTAGAGGCCGGGGCCAAAGAGGGGCTGGTATTATCGGTGAGCGGTTGGAAGGAACCATTATATCGGCGGAGCAAGATGTAGACGGGAGATGGCGAGACGTCGCGTCGCGTTTCTGGTCATGAGAGCCAACCGCTATCCCTTACTTCTGGTTGGCTGCCTGGACGAGGAGGGCCTTCTCCTTCAACACAGACGGGTAACTGTTCATGAGATGCGCCAATGGGCGGAGATCGTCCCGGTCAAGGAGGGCAATTGTGATCTTAGGCTACGTGGAGACCGCTGTCAGCCAGGCTCCCGTGCGAGGGCGGAATGCACTTACTGCTCCCTTGATACCGAAAGCCTTCACAACACGGAAACTAAATGGATACAATGAGGCACCGCGGAGCAGGAGTGGTGTGAGAACGTACATCTTATCGCCCAGCTGCTGCTTCTGCTGCTGAATGGGCTTGTCCATTAAGCCGTCCATAAAGTCGTCGGTGGCTTTCACCACCAGCGGGTCCGCCTTGGGCAGCGGCAGGCCCGTCGCGGACGACGAGTTCGCGATCCTGATGATCTCAGACGCGGGCAGGCGGGCGAGCGACGCAATCGTGTGCGTCGTCGATGCGGCCGTGCTGCTCGGCGTCTCAGGCATCGGCGACGCAGCTGCAGAAGGGCCACGGGACGACATGTCCGGCGTTCTCGGGGAGGCATCCATGGGCGCGATCTTCCGCGCCTGGGGCGTCACCGGCGGCTCAGGGACTGACTTGGCGGGCGTCTCGTCTTCCTCCACGTCGAGCACCATCTTCGCGTCTGCGAGCTTCGCGCGGAGCACCTCCACGTTGAAGAGGCACATTGCGCGCTCGCGCTTCGGCAGGCTCATGAGCAGGTCAGTGAGCTCCGCGACCCGGGTCGACTCGAGCTTCGCCACGGCGACGGCCATTCTCTCTTTCTCGGACGTCGGTGCGACTGAGCCTGATGGCGACTCCGTGCGTGGGGGCGTTGACAGCGTCGTCGGCATCGAGATCGGCGTTGATGGGTGGTCCGGCGCCGACGCCGTCGCATTGGGGGCAGCAAGATCGAGCGTGCTCGAGGGCGATGGTGACTTCGATGGTGCTGGTGCTTGGGGACCAGCCTTGGCGGTCTGCACTTGTTCGGCGAGCTTCATAGGGTCCTGGATACCTTGCACAACCTCACTGAGGGACAGGCCGACAATTGCGTCGACGACAGATTCAAGTTCGCCGGGTGAGACAGCGTCCATTGCTTTGATGCGTCTGCTGAGCTCGCCAGACAGGACTTCTTTCCGGACGACGGGTGAAAGCGCCGACAGGTCGTCGTAGCGCATGGGCAGATTAAGCGTACCTGACAGTGCAGCCTAATACGAAGTTAGTCGAACGTAGTGTGGAGGACGAAAGGAGCCTACATGGTAGTAGCTGCCCGAGCTTCTCCTCGCGCGATCTGGACGCTCAAGGTTGTGCTGAGCCATGACTGGGGATCCAAGGGCTGCAGGGTAGCTCCCGGGACTCGGCCAACCAGCATAGCTTTCTCCTGCCTCGCTAGCGGTCGGACTAGTTGCGCCGCTACCGCCCCTTGGATGACCATTGTGCCCTGCAAAGCGTGCTGCCAGCTTCTCTTGTCGCAGCTGCTTGGGCTCATGCAATCGCACGACGAGCTGTTTTGAACCGAGGATAACGCTATTCATTCCGTGCATAGCCGCGGCGGCTACGGTGCGGGCTGAGTGTCCCGAATATTCGGTTCAGAGGAGCAACTTACCTTGATCGGGCGTCTGGTAGGAAACAAATCCAAATCCACGACTGTCACCATTCTCATTGCGCATCACTCGCGCGCTATGACGGCATGAGCGTCCATACGGGCCGTCAGACACCTGACATACCTGACAATCTGGCCAAACTGAAGCGACCCTGTGTCAACAAGTTGTCATAGATTACTCTTCGTGCAGACTCACCTGACGGAAATGCGTGAAAAGGCCATTAGAGTCGATACTCGTATCGAGATTCTGCACCTCATTAGTGCCGATCGCAAGGCATTGTTGACAGAGGTGCTTACTTTGATGAAGAGATTGCATGGATCGATCAATCCACTGTGGCTAGTTGAACCCGGGCCTGACAAGGGCGCCAGCTGCACTTGCTGACCGGGGCCGTGCATAAACGCAGGCGAACGAGGCTGGTATGGGGAGGCTCGAGGCGGAGAATACTATCATTGGCGACGTGAGACAGCAACATGTCACCGACGCCACATAGACCAACCTGCGTAGGGTATGGGAGCACCGAGCCAGTCGGCACAAACGAGGGTGCAGTCGCGTTGAATTCGCTCGTGGCCACACCTGCACGCCTCGGTTGGTACACCTGCACGGCGATATTCTGTCCCTCTACGTCGGCGCAATGCATAGCCTCTTCCGCCTCACGCGCGTCCTCCTCACGCCAGTACTCCACGACACCTGTGTCCTTCCCAAACGGCGACTGTGTGCGGACAGACGCGAGCGCGCCGTACGGCCTGAAGAGATCATAGAGCTGACCGTCCGTGTAGCCCGGGGGTAGATGCTTGATGAGACGCGGTTGGCATTGGGCGGCGGTAGCGGGGTCGGCGGCGTGGTGGACGGGTACGGAGAGAGCACCAGCAGCACTGGAGGCGTGAGGCCAGGGATGGGACGCGCCTGCAGCGTCGCGAGAGCCTTCTCCGCTGCGCAATAGGTAGCAAGTTGCTCGCGGGGACGTGCGCGGAGTGCAGACGTGCCTTTCTCAATGTACTTGAACTCGATCGTGCCCGAGACCGGCTTGCTGGAGCCATCGCGCGGGATGTTCGGCCTGAAGGGCGCGCAGGTCTGGAATGAGGGTGCGAGATCCTCGTCCTTCACGTACGCCGGGAGGCCAGTGATGTAGAGCACGGGCTCGTGGAGGTACGGGTGTGGTTGGTGGCCCATCGTCTCTGTCGTCGGCGGGGCGTAGTCGCTGGACATGGTGGCTGGTGAACTCAGAGGCAGTCCAGAGGGTATCTTCACCGATTCCGCGACGAGCAAAGGTCCAGGAAACCGAGCCTTGTTTCCTGGCGTGCACGGAACGTGGAGGGCAGGGAAAAAATGATCAGCTATACCGCCGCTTATGTAACTGCCGCTGGCCGCCAGCGTCCGCCTTGCTGCTCGTCCGCCGGTGGAACGCGATGGCCTCGTGTGCCCTGGTAAGCGTCGACGCTGCTCTTTCGCAGGACACAAGCAGCCGTGGTCAGCACCCAGAGGCAGGACCGAGTGGGTCGACGCGAACACCGTCAACTTTGTAAGCGCGATAACATTTCATTATAATGCGTGAGACCCAACTGCCTATTCTGGGCGACGCGTATGTACAATGTGTACGCGTCACTCTGGTCTACGCCCGCTCGAAGTTGCTCGGAACACATCTCAGTCTGTGTCTTTCACTCTCACCATGGCCGACGTCGAGATGAAACCTATAGACGAGGAAAAGAAGGAAGAGGATGGAACGAAGGACGAGGCCAAGGAGCAGAGCATTCCGCCGCTCACCCCGGTCGCGGAAATCAAGTCCAATGTCGCCCTCATTGAGAGGGCCGTGGCGACCCTCGAGCCACGCTTCACTCATCGCGTGCTACGGACCTTGGGCGCGTTGCGGAAGAAACTAGACGATAGCGTCCTCAGAGACGCCATCTCGGAGGTGTATACCACAGGTGAGTGTGCAGGGTGCCGTAAACCCGAACGCGCACTGAACAGAAGCAGAGTCCCAAACGAAGAAGACATTACTAGGATGGCTTCCTGCAGCATCTGCGGTGGACCACTGCATGGACATAGACTCTGCCCCCGCACCCAAGCAATCCCAGCCCGAACCTCTACCCGAGGCTGAAGTCTACTTCCGCCTCCTCATCCTCCATCACCTCCTCACGTCGCCAAACGCGTACAAGCAAGCTCTGGATCTCGCCCACGAAACCATTGACCGGATGCAGTCGCTTAGCAGGCGTAGCATGGATCCCATCGCTGCGAAGGTGTGGTACGCTGTGGAGCGAACGTACGAGCTCAGTGGTCAGCTCGCAGACGCAAGACCGTAAGTCCCGTTCCTTCTTACCATGACATCGTTCCTATGAAACTTGTCGACCGACGAAAGAAGTGCTGTACGCGCTTTCCGTGCAACCATCCCCTAATCCTCTATATCCCCGATGTTAAGTGAAAACGCGGTGTTCCCACCGCGTCGACATTTCGGCTTCGTGGTTGCCTGCGAACTCCGCAGCAGCAGCCCCAGGGGGGCCGAGTCGCCCGGGTGCGAGGGGCAAGCCCATCTTCTGGTTCAGTATCTACATATACACTTACCCTCTGAACTGCGTGTCGTGAACCGTGGACCGCATCCTGCGTGGTGCACGGGTATTTGCTAGTCAATGTACATGATCGCTGACGCGTATTCACAGACTGTTCCTCGCCGCACAGCGAACAGCATCCCTTCGGCATGATGACGAGACCCAGGCGTCTCTCATCAACCGTCTCCTACGGAGCTACATCCAATACAGCCTCTACGACCAAGCGGACAAGCTCGTCTCAAAGACGACTTTCCCCGTCTCCGCAGGTAACCCGCAATTCGCGCGGTACCACTACTACCTGGGCCGCATCAAAGCGGTTCAGCTCAATTACACGGCTGCGCATACGAACTTGCAGCAGGCCATCCGCAGGGCACCGCCTGCGAAGACCGCACCTGGCTTCTACCAGGCGGTGCACAAGCTGTCTGTGGTGGTGGACCTCCTCATGGGTGAGATCCCCGACCGCAGTCTCTTCAGGCACCCTGTGCTTCAGAAAGCACTCAGCGGGTACTTTGAGATCGTGAAAGGTAGGCTAGTTTACTCAGCGAATGGAACTAGTATTAAGCACCGCGTTTCAGCTGTCCGCATGGGCTCCCTGTCGCAGTTCCAGTCGACGCTCTCGAAATACGCGTCCCTCTTCGAGCAGGACAGGACCTACACGCTGATCGTGCGCCTGCGGCAGAACGTGATCAAGACGGGCATTCGACGGCTCTCGCTCTCGTACTCGCGCATCTCGCTCCGCGACATCTGCGTGAAGCTCCACCTCGACTCGGAGGAGGACGCGGAGTACATCGTCGGCAAGGCGATCCGCGACGGCGTCATCGAGGGCCGCATCGTGCACGAGAAGGGCTGGATGCAGTGTGGCAGCCAGAAGGGCGGCTACGGCCCCGAGGTCAGCGACGTGTTCGCGCGGCGGATCTCGTACTGCTTGGAGCTGCACAACCAGAGCGTGAAGGTGAGCGGAGTGCGCGCTCGCCTATGTCGGAAGATAGGCTTACACTGTCTTGTAGGCCATGAGATACCCTTTGAACGCGCATCGCAAGGAGCTGGCCGCAGCAGAAGGGGCCCGGGAGCGTGAGAAGGAGCTTGCGAAAGAGCTGCAGGAGGGCGGTGACCTTGACGATGAGGGCCCTGATCTCGGAGAAGGATTCTGAGAGTGCATGTGTATTGAATTTGGGCTTCATTGACTGCTTACACCTCATTGTTCGAGGAAACTTTAACCAACTGGAGAACCTGTGGTATACGTCAAGTGTCATGGCCCTGTTGGTTTGAAGTCGTCAAAAGGTCTTTAAGAGGTTGCACTCGAAAAGTCACTCGCTTGCCACACTAATAAGTTAGTAAGTGTATTCGACTCGAACGCGTAAGTTACTGGCTGAGCGCCACACACGCGTACCTCTGTCACGGTGTGACGTGTCGCGTCCACTGCCGCGACCGCCGTGCCTTCAACTTACGCCCGCCCTCTTCCTCGTTACAGAAGCCGTATTCAGCAAGTGTTCAGGCCGTTCAGTGCTTGCCTTGAGTGATCCACCCACTAGCAAGGTCTTCCGACAGCTTTGTGCTAGTTAAGCCTGACCATCCGCGTAAGTCACCTCTTCAGCAATACTATCCGGCTCAGGCCATCCAGTATACTCAATTAGTGTACAAAGGTACAGGCAAGGATTGCGTTCAACGCGCTTTTGCAGACACACGGAACCACGTGTCTTGGACGTTGTACACCCGATTACTAGACAGGGTACGCGCGTCGCGTGCAGCGTCTCAACCATGTACGGTCGTTCATCTTCTGCACGATCTAGCCTAACTCGCTGCCTACGGGTAGCCGATTTCATGGCGAACAAACCGATGCCCGAAGATACGTTGCCTGTTAGCGCAGCGTCAGACGACGACCGTGCGCATTTACGCGGGCGCTCTAGGCAGGAGGCCCAACACCGGGTCTCCGTCGAAGGTCAAGCGTTACAGCGCCGTTCGTTGGACCTAGGCTTCCTGCATAACTCTACCATCACTTTGAACATGTTGCCAAATGAGATCTTTGTCTCCATCATCCGCCATGCTGTCAGCGGGGAGGACACTATGGCGTGGATAACCAGGACCATGGGTGTATGCCGTCATTGGAGAGAGACGATTATCCGTACACCCCTCCTATGGACGGACATCCGTTTGTCGGGGAATATGCAGTTCTCGGCGCTCTGTTTGACACGTTCCAGTGGTGCCACCATCAACTGGTATGTTTCCGAAGCTCATGTGCGACCACCTCCTTTGGACTGGTACTCGGCGACTGGTTCTCTCCTTGCGTTACATCATACACGGATCAAACACATGCGCATCTATCTCGAGGCAACCATCACGCCCCTTGTTCAGCTGTACTGGCAGTTATCGACGATCGCTTTGCCCGTGCTGGTTTCGATGGATTTAACGGCTGTCGCTGGGCTTTCTACACAATGGATACCCAGCTACCTCCCAAGTCTCCGACGTCTTTCACTCCATCGTCTTTCAGTTGATGTCACCCATTTACCCCTGTCGCAACTGACATCCTTGGACCTCAACAACGTCGACTTGCCCTCAAGAAGTCTCGCATCACTTCTGGACGTGCTGAAGGCATGCACTTCCTTACAACGGTTTGTCTACGAGGATACCGACGACATGCCAATCAACGAACTCCCCGTCGCCGCAGATAACAGAGTGTCACTGCCACATATTCGACACTTCTGTATAACTGCAACCTCGGCACATACATCAAGCTTGCTTGTACACATCCTACTAGCCAAGCAAACTCGTGTCGTGCTATATCCGAACGACTTCCACCCGCCGCAGGACGAGAACCACATACCCGTGCTCAATACTTTCTTGCCGCGAGACTCAGCGTACTGGCCAGCTATGAAGGACTTAACCCACATAATGGTGTGGTGGTACGCGCGCGACGGTCTTACTATCTACGCGGATCACGAAACTACGGAGTTCTGGGAGTTGCGCCCTTGGAGGTCTCTCGACTACGTAAACTTGGGTACCGATACAGATGAGCTCTCCCCCGTACCGGCACTCGTCATTGAACATCTCCAGATAGACTGGCCCTACCCTTCATGCACTGCTGAACCACTTCGAGCTGTCGTAGAAGAGCTAGGTGACTTCTTCCCGGTATCCGCGAAGACCTTTGTCCTCCGTGGATATGCGGAAGAGATCCCCACGGAGACTTGGACCGAACCCTAGCCACATTCTCTGCCATCGAGCACTTCGAAATCATCGCGGAAGCAGACGCCATGTGCAGCTTTCCTCTGGCACTTAGGCCGACATCAACTGGGATTCCTTGCCCTCGCCTGCGAGAGCTCGTGCTGCGATACGAAGCAGGCGCAGAGCTGAGAGACAGCAGCTGGCGGATGCTGGACGACCTTCGTGTGGTATTGCAGGAGCGCGTCGGCGGAGGCTCGCGGCTGCAGTCTCTCATCCTTCAATTGGACCCTCCACCGGAAGTTGAAGTTTTCAGACTGTTCAGGCAGTCAACGTTGTTAACGGCTACCGGTCGGTGGCCACCCGACTTCGAGGAGATACAGAAGGAATTGGCGCTTTTTGTTGGATCGTTGAAGATCTCTTACAGGGGACCGCATGACATGGACTGGCAAACTATCGTATAGGTAAGTAGGGTGTACTGAATAATGGTAGTGGTGCGCTTCTCCGTTACGACAATGACGAAAATATCAATCATGCATGAATTTGGACTGCAATGAGCATACGAAGATGATTCAGATCACTAAGTACACGATACTCATGCTCTCTATACTGTCATTCCGGTGCGTCCATGAAGCTGTCAAGTAACTCGTGAGTCCTCTGGATCCGCGTTCCTATATCGAAAGTATTGACTCATATGATAGGAACACCTATATATCACGGTATGCCTCATTGTAATTGACGCCGTGGTGAGTATCGGTACGACTCATAGCCCTGCAGCTAGATACTGAACTGTGTGCATAGTTGAACCTTTCAAGATCTACATGCGGATTCGTCATGACGTTGTTGAGACACTTCATCCGATATGTATGCACTGGGCGCCGTACCGATTTGGATTGCTGACTTCAGGGAGGCCATCATGCAGACTGCAATCACTGCCACGGACCCAAAATCCATTCCGCTGGCTCTGGGCATCATAGAGCGCAAGGAGAACCCACAAGTTCGACCTGTAGAACGGCGTGCATCCAATGCATGAACACCGTGAAGTGCCAAGTAGGAAGAGCTCCTCGAACTTGGTCGCGATGATCTGCTCGAGGGCGGTCCCGTTCTCGACCCAGTTCATCAAGATTGCATAGTTCACGTCGTGCTCCGCGTCCATATACCTTGGTACGCTGCGTGCGTCGCCCGTTGTCTGTGCTCCCGCGATATACCATTGACGCCCCTGGAGCAGTGTTGCATGCGTGGATGAGGAAGAAGCGGTAGAAGTCAGACACGCGCACGTTCTGCGGTGCGAGCGTGCGCTAGAGGTGGCCCTAGGAGTAGATCGACGATCTGGTCGCGGCCGACGCGTCAGCGAGGCCGCGCTAGTGGATCAGCTTTCCGCCGCAGTCATAGGACAGCGAGAGGTCGTAATCGTCAACGATCACAGCAGACGAGATTCTCCCATAGTCGGTCCGGGTCGTCGTAGAGGAAGCGTGCGTGCGCGGTACGCTCGGGTGAGACTCGTTGCTCGTGGTCAGCGCCATGTCCCACTGAGCCTCGGAGCTGTACGTGAGGTGCAGGAAGACGAACGTCTGGTTGACGTCCGCCCAGTCATTGTAGATCTTGTAGAGCGTATCGATCTGCACCCTCGTCAGGCACGCCGACGTGTTCGCGCTGATCGAGTTGCAGAGGTGTGTCTCGGGCCGGAACTTCCATGCGTACGGATTCGTGGTGGTCCCGTCCTCGAGCCCGTTGACGGCGTCGCACTGGGGGAAGACCTCGCTAGCGATGACGGTGAACAGGCACTCGTTGATGTTGCGCGGCGCGCCGTTCGGGAGGTTATACGTCGCGACCTTGAGGTTCCACTGCTGGCGCGTCATCCGCCACGCGGCGCGCCCACGACGACGTCGTCGACGAAGTCGTCCGAGAACATCTGCACGCTCTTCAGACCCTTTCGCCCGCCCATCGAGCAACCCGCGTAGTCCGAGTACGCGACACTGTCGTTGTAGAGCGCCGCGGTGAGCTGCTTCCCGAGCGACGCGGAGCCGTGCATTGCGCGCCAGCCCCAGTCGGTACGCTTCCCGGTAGTCTTCAGCGCCCACGCGCCGCCGCGCGGCTGGCTGCTGTCGTCGGGGTGTATGGAGGAGTGGTGGCCGGTGTTGGTAGAGACAGTCGCGAACCCGTAGTTGAGTCCGTTCGCCATGTCTAACCATGCTACCTGGCCGATGAAGCCACCGTTGCCGTATGCGATGAACCTCTCGTCCCATGTGTTGTTGAGCGGGAGCCACAGTCCGAGCTCGAAGGCGGACGAGTCGGACGACGTGAAGTTCACGCAGAGCGCGCAAAAGGTGAGTCCGGCTGAGACGGAGTCGTACTTGACGAATGTCGAGTTTTCACCATAGGGAACAGCGTGGATGAGCTTTGCGTTGGATGGCACAACGGATGAGAAGGACGAAGGCGTATAGCGGGACTCAAGTGACTGGGCCGCTGTCAGATCCACTTGCACGCCCACAGCGAGCGAGACGAGGAGCCTCATGATTGCAACACCGATAGATAAGTGCCGCCAAATACACTGTGATTGTCAGTATACGGTGCCCGCAAAGTAATACGACAGACTCACGAGGCATACTCAATGAAAACTCGGCTCGGACACGGATGTTGCTCTTCTAAGTACATGTTATGTAGTACTTGAAGGCTGTTGAAACCTTGTGAGATGAGTCGAAACCGTCAGTCTGCGCTCCTCTCGCGTGCATCCAGAATGCATATGCTGGCTGCGCGTTGGCGACCATTTTGCTACTAGTACGCGAGGCGTTCGCAGCCTGAGCCTTATGTACGCACGGAAAGACCATTGCCAGCCTGAGTACTCCACCTCGGGCGCGATCAGCCTAAACAGCTTCGTTTCCAGAACACAGGCTGTCTATCTCACCTGAGTTAGCATCCGTGCGCATGAGTACCACAGTGAAGTGACTTTTTGTGACTAGAAATACGACGGACAAAGGACTCGGAACGCAAGGAAGCGGTACCTGCCAGGCTGCCAGTGGTGGCGCGGACGCTGAGCGCCAACTCTCAGATCCAGATCTCAGACAGCGACCAGCTCACTGGCAGCTACTACTAGTACTACTATCATAGTACTTGGCCACTACTCTCGTCGGTACATACTTCGACTCTCACAACGTCACTGAAAAAGAGCATACGAAGTCATACAGTCTGAACGGAGTCCGGGACAGACCGTGACGATTTGGTGCCAGGCCGGCCAATCCTCGTCAGTAAGTACTACGTTTGATTCACAAAGTGTGAATGCCGGTGAAACAGACACATACGAGGACAACCGTCTCAATGTATGTCTTCCTTGCAGATGTTCTTGCACGAACCAACTACTAGTAGGTTGATTTAGACAAGTTTGCTTGTCCGGGGCCTGCGGGAGGCGCCACCGACACGCCTTGACCGATTCGCTTTGACTTCAAAGCACGTTCATAAGACGTCTTTGTTTTCGGTTGCCATGGCTTCCTGAGAACTTCTATCCCTCCTAATCATAAATAAGCTCCTCCTGCATAGCTTTCTTCACCTGCCGTTTGTATCTCACATCGCGCGGATGTTGAGAACTGCTCTGTTTTGAATGTCCTGCCTGTGAGGAAAACACTGTTTTCCTCACAGGCAGGACATTCCAAGTTCAAGGCGATCCTCCCTCCTCGTGGCGCCGACGGCCACTGCCTCTAGTTCCTGCCTTTCAACATTGTGACCGCGGTCCACTCGGGCTACCTCAGCAACGTACGGTTAGTCACCTATCCCGGGATCTGCGATCTTCTGCTGCTCACGGATTTTAAGCGAAGGACTTCATGGCGAACTCCAATGAGTCCCTGTCCGAAGGTGCGCTACTTGCGAACACGCTGTCAAACGACGACTATGCACGACGGCACATCGGGCGCTCTAATGAAGAGGTCCTGTGCTGGACCTCTATCGCGACGCAGGCCCGACGGAGTCGTCCACCGGATCTCGAATCCATGTACAACTTGAATTCGACTCTCCCTGTGAACACGCTGCCAAACGAGATCTTCATCGCCATCGTCTGCCTTGCTGCCCCGTCAAACGGCGACAGCTTGAGCGCCGTCGCCTTGAATCGGGTAACCAAGCTCATGGGTGTATGCCGTCATTGGAGAGACATGATCATCCATACGCCCCTCTTGTGGATGGACATCGACCTGTCCAAGAATATGCAGTTCGCGGAGCTCTGTTTGGCCCGGTCGAACCGTGCCGCTATCAACTGGCGAATGCCTTTAACTCGTGGAGAACTACTGCCGCTCAACTGGTGCCTCGCCACTTGCTCCTTCCTCGTTTCACATCATACACGGATCAAACACATGCAGGTCCACTTCGGGGAAGACCTGGCGCCCATCGGGGCGACATACTGGCCACTATCGATCGTCTCTTTGCCCGCGCTGGTTTCGATGGACCTGAAGATTACCCATGGGCATTCTTCGCAATGGATTCCGACTCCCGACCACCTCCCAAGTCTCCAACGGCTCTCACTCGAGGGTCTTACGGTGGATGACACCCGTTTTCCCTTGTCGCAGTTGACATCCTTGAAGCTACGAGAGGTAGACTTCATCCCCAAGCTAAGCCTAGCCTCATTCCTGGATATGCTGCAAGGATGCCCACTGCTGCAACATTTCGTGTACGAAGATATCGCGAATGGGGAGGGGCTCGCCAACTCGCCCAACTCAGCGGACCTCAAGCGCGCGGTGTCCCTACCACATATGCAACACTTCCATCTGGATGCACTCTCATCCGATATCTTTCGTTTGCTCACGCACGTCTCATTGCCCAAGCAAGCCCGCCTCACGCTGCAACCAGGTTTCTTCGTCGTCCTCCCAGGAGAGGACGAGAATGTACCCTGGCTCAGTACCTTTTTGCCGCGTGACGCAGCGTATTGGCCGACTCTCAGGGACATCACCCACGTAATGGCGTGGTGGGACGAGTACAACGGTCTTACTGTCCTTGGGGATGTGGTGCATACAGAATTCTGGGAGTCGCAGCCGTGGAAGTCTCCTTACTACGTGACTTCGGACGCCGATGATTTTGCCGTGGCGCCGTCACTTTATATATGGGATATAGTCGCGCTTTGGCCCCAAGACCAAGGCGGCGTCGACGCGCCCCTTCTATGGGTCATCAAAGAGCTGAGCGATTTCTTCCCGGCATCTGTGAAGACGTTCGTCCTCCGCGGAGGAACACAAGAGATCGACACGGAGGTCTGGGCTAGGATGCTAGCGGCGTTCCCTGCTATCGAGCACCTCGAGATCATCGCGGAAGAAGACGCCATGCCCGACTTTCCTGCGGCGCTCGAGCCGACATTCAGCGGAGACGTCCCCTGCCCTGGTCTGCGAGAGCTCGTCCTGCGGTATCAGCCAGGTGAGGTATCCGACCACAGTCGGCTGCTAGCTGTTCTTCGTTCAGCGCTCCAGCAGCGCCTCGAAAAGGGCTCGCGCTTGGCATCCCTCAGCCTTAAATGGGAGTGTAGAAGTGCTGATGACGTTGACGCCTTCACGGGGTCGGTGGTCAATCAGGTATTACCCGAGCTCCGGGAAAGAACGTTGGTCTTGTCAAGGCTTGTCGGTTCACTGAAGATGTGGGCTACCAAATGCCAGAGGCTGGAGATCTGTGGGATTGGCATCTGTTGGACATGTCGGATAACGGTAGTAAGTACAGCAGCGGCGCAGTAACGACTACTTGATTCGTCCATGAGCAGGTGTCATGCCCACCCAGAAGTACAATTCCCTGAAGCAATACAACACATTGTTTGCTCTGTCAACCGAGGCAAAGTATATGTAAGTACGATATCCGCACACGGTCATCAGGCAGTAGTCTGTTGTGCCGCCGACGAACTTTCAATCTACATCGGAGGCCACTGATGACAAACCGCGCCGGCGTCACTTCTGCGAACGGCATGCATCGCAGAAGCATTCACGATGCTGTGCTGATCCGGGAACAATTGTACGTCGTGCCTAGAACTCTGAACATGTCGGTCGCCTCTTACCATTGCTAGGCTCTTTGGCCACAGAACCATGACACCGGTGAGATCCCGGCGGCATACTGGTAATGGAGGCCACAACGAACAGAAACATATGCCTCTTTTTAGGTATGGCGATCAGGAAGGTGGCGGGAAGAAGCTGGGAAGTACCGCCACCGTGACCCGAACAGGGCGAGAGCCTGAGTGGTTCCTAGCCTCGCACTCAGATCCACACCCGTTGAAGTGTGGTACTTCGTTCGCTGAGATACGTAGGAAGGCATGCGGTCTCCACGCGGCGTGGGCAATTGTTGGACAGGTGCAGCGAAGCTCTAAGGGGCTATATGACTCGCGAAGTACGTCCAGTTTGTCCGTCTCCCAGTCGTGTATCTGGGTGTCGAGCACATCCGAAGCTCTTGACTATGTCTAACCAGGTAGCGGCGGCCATCTCGCAAGAGTACGTGATTCCGTGTTCAGCCGATTCCGTTCTTACGTCTTGTCTGTGCATCAGGTTCCTCGAGAACTGCTTCACCGTCTCCGCTCAAGGTAGGCCAATGCATTACACATACTCCTCGTCCACATCCCACTGAACTCTGCGCACTATCGTTGGAACAGCACTTTGTTGCTACGACTTCTTCCTGACCTTCACACGTGAAGTGCAGTTCATGTGGAAGCTCAAGCCCTCGATGGCCTCTATTCTCTTCTTCACCCTGCGCTACCCCGCGCTGTGTAACACCGTCTTGGTTGTCCTCGGCTATTTGTCTTGGGGAGGCTGGCAAAGCCAGTTGGTATGTGCTGTTCATCTCCAAGATGCGAACACTGACTCAACGATTTTTTCTATTCATCTATAGAGGTGAGAGAGCATTTGGGTGGATCGAATGGAATCCTGAGTAACACATAGTTGCACTATCATGACGCGCCTCGAGATGGCGGGTGACGTCTTGGTCTTGACGAGCTCAGCTAGTAAGCATCTGTCCTTCCTCGCGCCTCCGACGCACGACTACAGTATCTGCGCCAGCTGATTAATAATCTTACCTAGTCTTCACTGCTGTGCGCATATATGCGCTCTCGGCGCGGAGTAGGTGGCGTCTCGGGTTCTCGCTCGTCTTGGGTCTTATCAACCCGGTCATGTCCACGGTAGGTATCACTATGATGCGTTCCATTGGACGTACGTGTACTGACTGACCTTCGTTTGGTTTGTAGTACACGTTTGTCCTCTCTGCGCCCTACCTCGCGCGCCTCACGCCGCATTACCAGACGTGCGACATCGACACGCAGTTCCTAGGAGACATGTGAGCGATATCTAACATCCCCCTTCGGCGACTCGGCACTGACATGCGCTCCCTGAACCTGCAGCTGTGAGGACAAGTTCGTTTCCTCGTCCCTCCGCATGCTGACGACAGACCGCAATTCCCAGGGATGATGTGCGCGCGGGCGTCCGCAGTGATATTCGACGCCGTCGCTCTGCTCCTCACCTGGCTGAGCATCAAGCGTGTCATGAGGGCAGGCCGAAATGCGGCTGACTCCGAGTCGGATGATCGCTCTGCGATGGGGCTTGGCACTATGACAGTCGTTCTCATGAAAGACAGTACGTGTTCAAGGCCAATCCGTGGTTAGTACGACTGCTGATTACTTTGGTCTTGTCCCTGTTTCGCTGGTAGCTGCGGTGTATTTTGGGTGAGTAGTGAGAGGGCTGATAGTCGGAACAAGTTGTCATTGACGGAGACCGTAGCTTCCTCTTCGCGATCAACGCGCTGGGCATCGCGATTGGCTTGAGTCATCCCAAGGCAAGTCCCTCCTGCAGCCTGGTTTCTTACACACGCGGAAGGGATAATACCACCTCGCTCATCAGTTTCTCGATGCCGTATCGACCTGGAGTGCAGTGTATGTCCACCCTTTCCACTGACTTGTACTTCAGTATCAACTGAGTTGCTGCCCCTGCAGAATGACCTCAATCCTGCTTAGCCGGCTCATGCTCGACCTCCGGCAGGCAAACTCGAAGGACAGTGACGGCGGGACGTACATCTCAAGGGCGCTGACGACGATGGTGTTCGATGGTACTCAATGTGAGCAGGAAGGACCCACAAGCCAGGAAGACTCGTTCGGGTCGGAGGAGAGTGACGGTGTGAATGAGGTGTTCAGGACCCCTTGAACGGACTCAGGCTATCGCTGGGATGGTAGAAGGTCTGAGGCTCCGCGTTTTCTCGGCTGAAAAGGACTGAGTTTGTTCATAGTACGGACCGCAAATAGGAGCACTGAGGAAAGTCAACGTGCAGCATGTCTTTTCTTGTCGTTCCCGCTTACCGAAACTAGATCTGTGACCGCGCGGCTTTCCAGCGCTTCAATCAGAGCTTCGTACGGCGCTTCGTTGGTATCCTCAAGGCACGCAAGGCTATGTCCGGCTATGTACCCATGCGGCTACCATTGCTGCTTGTGGACAGTTGAGCCCCAACCAGCGCCCGGATACGACTTTCAAGTTTCAAGGACAGAAGCTGTTCGTCTTCAGTGTCCGTGGCAAGACATCGGTTTCCGACAGTGACAGAACTGCTCCTTTGCAAATACGATATCTGTCTCGAATATCGACCTGCCATTGGTCGGGCAGCCTCCCGTTCAACACCGGAGCTTCCGGGTGCAATCCTCAGTGTCGAAGATTCAAGGAATGGCTCGGATGCTGTACAGCGCTCTATGTGCTCCGAGCGCCATCATATCGACGGCTCGAGGTCAGTATGCTTTTACGGCGTCTACGCATCGCCTGCATGACCTTGTCAAGAGTCAATAACCTCAGTGCGGCGCCAAGGCATCGAAAGTCCACGGTTCAGTCACTTGGAAGGTGGCTCGATGAAAAACTGAGTATGTACTGACGGGACTGAGCGAGCGGGGAGTATGTTGTCTCATCAAGCGCCGTGCTTCACGCCCTGAGAGGGCGTGGCGTAGCATGCATTACACTGACCATGCCTAATCGTAAAGCGCTGTTGTTGTTTTTGATCGCCAATGCCGACGAAGACATAAAGACGTGTATGCTGCATATAGTCTCTACCTCACCCCAGGCTTCCGAACACTTGAGCTCTTTCTGCGTGGTAGTACCTCTGGTGTGAACATTGATCCCTACCTGGATTCATCATCATGTCGTCGAACCAAGTCGCGGCGGCTGTCTCACAAGAGTACGTGTTCTCCCTGGCTGCCAATTGTGTTGATGCTTACCTCTGCCACAAACCCTATCTCTGCCTTAGATTTCTGGAGAACTGCTTCACAGTTTCCGCTCAGGGTCAGTACAGCGACTTGGGCCACGTCCTTCATCCTCCACATCAACGCTTCATCGGGTTTCTAACCTAAATTTACCGCTCGCCGCACAGCGCTCTGCATCTACGACTTCTGCCTGACCTTCACGCATGAGGTGCAATTCATGTGGAAACTCAAGCCTTCCGTTGGCTCCGTCCTGTTCTTCACTTTGCGCTACACCGCACAGTGCAACACTATCGCGGTCGTCTTCGGCTATCTCTTCTCCGGCGTCTGGCAAGATGAGTTGGTGAGTACGCCCTTCATGATTATCAGTGTAGCTGCCCAAGAACCAGTACTGACCAGCCGGTCATAACAGTGGTGAGTCAGTATGTCGTGTACACGAAGTTGAGCTGAGCGATATGTCGGCGCTGCGGTAGTTGTACACTTTTGGGACGCCTCCAGATGACAGGCGACGTACTGATTTTAACGAGCGGCGTGAGTAAGTGCTTTTTGTCTCTCCAAACGCGCAGGGCCTTGACCTCGCCTCCTTTAGTTTTCTCAGCCTTGCGCATCTATGCTCTTTCAAGGAAGAATAAGTGGCACCTTGGTGTCACACTCATACTAGGTCTAATAAATCCAGTATTGTCTGCAGTGCGTCGCATCCAAGTACCATGGATCCACCAGAAGGAGCTTACCTGACTTCGTGAACCGATGTACTGGCAGTACACATTCGTTCTATCCACGCCTTTTCTCGCGCACCTTGCGCCAGGGCATCAAACGTGCTCCTCCGATGCGCAGCTCAGGGAAGACATGTGCGTGTCTCAAAATCTCCGACACGTTCAGAATTATGCACGCAACTGATGTCGTTGCAACCTTGATCACCTGCAGCTGTGGGTAATAACAATGTCTGTCGACTCAGGCTAACGGTGACCCATTCTACACAGGGATGATGGTGGGGCGAGGGTCTGCGGTTATCTTCGACGCCGTTGCACTGGTCCTCACCTGGCTGAGTATTAAGCATGGGGTGAGCATAAGAAATCGGACTGACGGATCAAACGCGCCTCCCCGTGTCGTGTCGGGGATAGGGAACATGTCAATCGTTCTCATGGCGGATAGTACGTGTCGTACGCTTGCTTTTTGACCGAGAGCTGACACTACACTCGTGTACGGTAATATAGCGGCAGTCTATTTCGGGTAACTCACGTTCTGTGAAGTGTGCGGGCATGTCCGCTAAGCCACGAGACAACAGGTTTCTAACTGTCATCAACCTCGTCGGCATCGCTTTTCGGAAAGTAAGTCTTCGAATTCCCGTTATACTGTGTTCCAATACTAACCATCTCTCGACTCGACTCATTAGGACCTCAACGCCGTGTCCACCTGGACCGTTGTGTACGTAGGCCTTTTCAGAAACCGCTGCATTGTCGATGACTCCCCTCACCGATTATATTTCTCCTCAGCATGACATCACTCCTGCTCAACCGCCTCATGCTTGACCTCCATCAAGCAAACTCGGAGGGCCGCGACGGTGGGACATATGTCTCGCGCGCGTTTGCGTCAATGGTTTTCAGACTACCTTCTGCTGGAATGGAAGGGCCCGCGGGCCATGGAGACTCACTTGGTTCAGAGCCTGAGGAGAGCGAGCATGTGGATGAGGTGTTGAGAATCGCTTGACAGACCCACTAGAGTAGCTTTGCCCATTGCTCACGGCTTTGTTAGGTATGCTCGCCGTGTTCAATATCATGACCCGTAGTCGAATCGCGGGACATGGCTCGAGAATTGAAATCGTTGATCTAATCAACAGCAACATCCCTAATAGGTGCTCACCGGTATCTACATGGCACAGTGCAAACACTGGTAGACGTGTCTTAGACTAGTAAGCAAGTTAATATATACAGCCCAGTCATCATGAACTGATGAGCCCTGTCTCAAACAGATGTTCTCAGAATGATATCATGACTGTCGCCAGTCAATGCATCGACGTATCTTGGCAGCCGCTGTGCATCTGCCCCCTGGCAGTGTCAAACTGCCAACAAGTACTTGAAGCTCGTGCCTGCATGCCGCTGTCCGCAAATTTGCTCCTCGCCGGCGTCGAGCCTACTCGACGATGCCAAACGACATAGCAGTAACCGCTGCCGTCTCACAAGAGTGAGGGTTCCCTTCATCTTACCAATTGACAATCACATATGTATAACTAAACCTGCCTTCAGTTTCCTCGGGAATTGCTTGATTGTCTCCGCTCAAGGTATATACCAGCAGTTCCGTCTCTTTGCTCAGTATAACTGACACGCGCACTGCCACTACTCTTGTCGACTCACATAGCGCTCTGCTGCTATGACTTCTTCCTGAATCTCACGCGCGAGGCGCGGTTCATGTGGAAGGTCCAGCTCTCTGTGGGCTCGATTATTTTCTTCACACTGCGGTACCCCATGCTATTGAACACGGTCGCCATCGTTCTCAGTTACCTCTCCTGGGGCAACTGGCAGAATGATCTGGTGAGTCCGCAACTGATGCTATGTTCTTGTCCACGAATGTACCACCTTTGCTTGCGATGGCATGCTGACTAGCTTGGCAATGTACTCGTGTCTCCATCATTGTACAGAGGTGAGGGACCGTGCTTCCGTGTGCGAGTTGAAGAGCTCAACGTCAGATGATCAAAGCTGTACGGTCATGATACGCCTTGAGGTAGTTGGCGACATCTTGATCTTGATAAGTTCCGCAGGTAAGTACTTGCCCTCCCCCAAGTTGTCGATGTCAACTTGAATTTTTAATCTTGCTTAGTCTTCACCGCAACACGTATCTTTGCTGTCTCTTGGCGAAGTAAATGGCGCATGGTACTCACGCTCATCCTTGGCTTGATTAATCCGGCGATATCCACGGTGCGTCACATACACACGGTTTGCAATCATCCGCGTTGTCAAGTTGACATATGTGCATTCATTTCATGACATCGGCAGTACACGTTCATCTTGTACAAGCCCTACCTTGCGCACCTCGCGCTGCACTACCAGACGTGCGACATCGATATGTCGTCCCCGGGTAACATGTACGTGTAGTACAGACTTCGCAAACAGTTCAGAGCAACTGCTGACGACATGCCTTTACCTACAGATGTGTATACTCTTTCGACTTCACCAATGTGTCACTCACGTATTGTTGGTGACCGCTTGAACAGGGATGATGTGTGCACGGGCGTCCGCAGTGATCTTCGACGCCGTCGCGCTAGTCTTCACCTGGTTGAGTATCAGGCACGTGGTAAGCGCGAATACTCAAACAGATGGCTCAGGGGCGACGCACCGTTTAGTGGGCTCAAAGAGTATGCCACTTGTGCTCATGAAAGACAGTGAGTATGTACCTTTGATCCAAGTTGCACGGAGAACTCATTTCTGCATAATCAAGCTGTCGTGTATTTCGGGTAACCACATCCCGAGATCAGGTCATTTACTCTCGCTAAACGATGGACTGATAGGTTTCTATCTGTGATCAACGCATCGGGCATTGCTTTTCCAAAGGCAAGCCCTCACATTTATTCTATGTTCCCGTACGAGGTCCACTCACTGAACGCTCGTCCCCGCTCACTAGTTCATCAATGCCGCGTCCACTTGGAACGCAGTGTACGCCTTCTCACGCGCCACAGAAGTCATCCCTCACGCACTTGTGTGCCTCTTCACAGAATGACATCAATCTTGCTCGGCCGCCTAATGCTCGACCTACACCAGACGAATGACTCCCACAGCGACGGCACATTCATCTCGCGCGTGTTGTCGACAATTACTTTCGACGGGCATTCTAGCTCGGAGTCAGATGTTGAATCTGCGGGACAGGTTCTTTTGCCCGAGTCTGAAGGCAGTGACACCGAACATCTTCGGCGTGACTTAGAAGATTAGGTGGTGGATCCGCCTTAGAGGGTACTGCCAGTCGTGCGTCCATTCAGCACTCTATACCATGTGACCGATAGGTCCTAAGATCGTTGACGCTCTTCAGTTGTGTATGATCTGCGACGTTGGACAGTTGGATGCTGCCAGTAGTGACTGTCATGGAAATTGTCACTATTTTTCGGGAAACCATCCGGATCCATGATCCTTGACTCGTGGATCTGCGTCCTGTCTCGACGTCAATATGCTCATGTCCCGCGGATGGCGGCACCATCTCATGCTACTGTCTGATTGCGACGCGAAGGTAACGTCTGTCATCGCCTCAACCTGTCAATCTGCTTGCTATTTCACTCCAATACCTTCGGGGAGACTCCGCACCGGTGTCATTCCCGGACAGCTTTGAACATCGCGGAAGCACTTCGACAGAGGCTGTGCACTCAGGCGAATCTGCGGCGTTCCTTGGTCGTTCCGTACAGCTTGAATACTCGCTGGGCGACGATGCTGGATGCCTGGCTAGTCTCATAGATGGTAATCGCACTCAGGAATTGCGTTCGAGTCGTTTCAAATGCGACATACGGAGCTCGTGACCAGGAACGAACACCTCTTCTTGAGACGGTGGTCAGGAAGGTGGCGGGCAGAAGCCGAGTCACGCCATTGAGACTGGACGAAAGCATGGGTGGTCCCTAACCTCGTGGTGAGCCCCACATCCATTTGAGATGTGTGGTACCGTGTGTGGCAGTGGCAGTGGCGACTACTGATAGTCAGATTTTCTGATCAAGGTGTCCTCGGCCACCAGCAGTACGGTCCCTCTGCGGCGCTGATGGCCACTGGGACAGCTGCAGCGAATTTGAAGACACACGGGCTTATATTACGCGGGAACAGATTGACTTCGCCGCCCCCTGTGCTGCTCGGTTGTGTTAGACCGCGATTCTTGACCATGTCGAACGAGGTTGTGGAAGCCATGTCACAACAGTGCGTGGAGCGCCATATGCATCCACCGACGGGCCCTATACTGACTAGTGCTGCCTCAGCTTTCTCGAGAACTGCTTGACCGTATCTGCTCAAGGTCAAAATCCCGTCGCTCACCTTCCTTTCCCTACGCGTCGTGCTGACACGGGCCTATTGAAGTGTTGTGCTGCTATGACTTCCTCCTGACCTTCACGCGCGACGTGCGCTTTATGTGGAAGCTCAAGCCCTCCGTCGGCTCTGTCCTCTTCTTCGCGCTGCGCTACTCCGCGCCCTTCAATACCATCGCGGTCGTCTTTGGCTATTTGTTTCAAGGAAGCTGGCAGAGTCAGCTGGTGAGTGCATCTTCCGCGGTTGCAGATACCTGTTCTGCCCGATCTTTGCCTCGAATCTCAATCTCATCCGATTCCTTAGAGGTGAGATGTCATTTCCAGATCTAGGGCTGCTGAGTTGAAAGCTGAGCGATTACACAATAGTTGCACAATCATGGCGCGCCTTCAGATGGTAGGGGACGTCCTGATTTTGACGTGCGCCGCGAGCAAGTATTCCCGTCTTGACAAGCGCGCCTGGTCTGACCAAAACCATCAGTCTTCACGGCCCTGCGCATATATGCGCTTTCGGGAAATAGTAAATGGCGCCTGGGATTCATGCTCGTCCTGGGTCTGCTCAATCCGGTGATCTCTACGGTACGTCACCTCGAGTGACATCATGAATGAATGTCGACCGCGACAACTCACCTACACCTGTGACTTGGTAGTACACGTTCGTCCTCTCCACACCCTACCTCGCGCACATCACGCCGCAATTTCAAACGTGCAACATCAACACCCAAGTCTTCGGATATAGGTGCGCGAGTCGACACCTCACCTTCAGCGTTTGACTCAAACCTGATGTTGCTGCCACCTCCGTCATCTGCAGCTGTGAGTACCGATGTAATTAAGCGGGCCAGGTCAAGATGAGTTGACCGTGAATTGGGATGCCGTATAGGGATGATGGCTGGACGGGCATCCGCTGTCGTCTTCGATGCTATCGCGTTACTCCTTACCTGGCTCAGAATCAAGCATATGGTAGGTGCGAGCCGTCGGACGGATGGCTCCGGGATGAATCGCCGCAGTATGTCAGGCATGGGGAACATGTCAGTTGTCCTCATGAGTGATAGTGCGTGCCCCCTTCTCCAATCCGGGCTCGCGCTGAATTTACTCGTGGACACCCTACCGCGCAGCTGCGACCTATTTCGGGTGAGTCATACCATGCGAGACTTGGCCATTTCCGTGCCATTAAGCGGAGCACGGTAGGTTCCTAACTGTGATCAACGCGGCGGGAATCGCTTTTCGGAGAGTGAGTTCGGTCCGGCGAGTCAGCGTGTTGGGATCCGCTGATGAACTCCTTGACCACTCTCATCAGTTTCTCGAGGCCGCGTCAACATGGAGCGCAGTGTACGTGCTTATATTGCATTGGTATTGACCAGAAGCCTCGCTAAGCTCGGGCACCTCAGGATGACATCAATCCTGCTCAGCCGTCTCATCCTCGACCTTCACCAGGCAAGCTCGGAGGACTACGAGGGCGGGACGTACTTCTCGCGCGCGTTAACAACGATGCTGTTCAAGCAACCTCCCGGTACAAGTGAAGAGTTCATGGGTCATGAACTCGAGCTGCCGGTGGAGGATGAAGACGACAGCGCGGCGATGCATGTATAACATCAGAGGAACTCGGACACGATGGCGCTCAGTCACGGTGTTGACGTCACCATGCTTGGAATTCGACGCACGGTTAGTATTGGTTATGATGGACTCACTTTGAGGACTGGATATTTCGCAGTGCCGTGTGTATGTTGATCTTGGCCGGTGTACCATTTTTCCGGTATGCTTTCGGATGAGCAGTCTATGTAGATGTACAACGATAGTAGACACTGTGGGAAGGGGGAAGCATGAAATTCAGCGCCGAAAACACTCATTTCCTTAGATGAGTGTTTACCACACTGTTTCCGGTCCCACTGAAAATGAGTGTTTATGTCGGTACTGTTCTAAACACTCATTTTTGCTGTTCTAAACATTGACCGCAATTAGAGTGTTTTATGTGCTCAAAGTCAATGTCGGTGGGACATATGATCATATTCGGAGCCGGAGTCCCTATGTGCAGAGCACGGGTCGTGGGAACCCGCCTGTGACCCGTACCCGCCGCTCGCGCAGCGGCGGCAGCGCCGCCGCCCTGGTGCCGTTCCATGAACAGGCGGGATCAAGCGCGAAAAGCCCGAGCAAAATGAGCGCAGACGGAGGGTATATAAGGATGAAGGTAGGACAAAGCAGAGGTACAAAAAGCGAAGGTGAGCCGTCCCTAAGGCTAGTGTACCTACTAACAGCTTCTGTTCCTAGTCACTGTGCCTAAGTATGGGCTCCGTTGCGCTCGCAGTGGCTAGTACGTGCTGCCAGTCGCTCCGTCTGCTTGCCCACCCGCTTGGCCCCTCGCGCCTCCATGCCCGCCCTCTCACGCCCACCGTCTTGTCCACGCCCCGCCCTCTCCTGCCTACACGCGTCCTCTCGTAACACGCGCACTCTCGCACCTTGCTCGCACCTACATGCCCGCCCTCTCGCACCTACACGCCCGCCCTCTCGTGCTTACACGCCCGTCTTCTCGTGCCCGCACGCCTTACCTGCAAAGCCCTAGCTTCCGGCTGCGTCACCCCCTCCCTACACCTTGTCGTCGCCGACCGTCTGTCCCGATGGCCACGTCGCCGCCCTCGTCGCCTGTACGAGCCACTCCTGCGTCCATCTTGTCGATAAGAGGATGTCGCCCTCGCCCTCTCGCTTACACACTACCTGCTGTCTCGCTCGCATGCCGCTCCACTTACCCGCCGTCTCATCTGCCCACTATCTCGCTCCCACTGTCATTGTTGATTGTCTTCATTTTTCTCCTCGCCGTCTCTCTCGCGCACTGGTCCTCTCGTGCACTGTTCCTCTCGCCCATGTTTTCTCTCACCTGCGGCCCTGCTCACCTGCCGTCTCGCTTTCTAGCTGTCACCCTATTCCCATTGCACGCCCCTGCCGTCTCGCAGGCCCGCCGTCTCATAGGCCCATCATCTCGCAGTCCTGTCATCTCGCAGGCCCGCCATCTCGCTCTCCCGCCCGCAGTCCCTCCCGCCCGCCGTCTCGCTCGCTCCTCATCTCGTCGTACTCTTACTCTTTGCCCGCCGTCTCGCTCGCCCGCGTCTCGCTCACCTGTCATCTCGCCTGCGCGCAGTCTCATCTGTTGTCTCGCCTGCATGATCTTGCCTGTGTCCTCTTGCCCACGCCCTCTCGCCTACATCCTCACATGTACGTAGGTCTCCTTGCCGCGTGCAATCATGTCGCATCCTGACTCTCCACAGAACTGCTATTGCACATTCCAGGTGCAGATCTACCAGAAATGCCTGTTCCTTGTCGGGCACCCGTCGGACGGTTCCGCACCGAAGGAAAAGACGCTGAAGGGTCACTTCAAAGCGCCCTCATTCCCTTCTAGTGTTCTGCGATCATGAGTGAATCTCCGCGGTGCGACTTCCTCGACTTAGCTGATCCGTCGACAGTCCCGCCTCCCATCGAGGGCGACCTGCCGTTGCAGAGCAGCAGTGCGGGAGCAGACACTAAAGGCGCGAGGGTTGTCTTATCGGTGAAGCGGACAAAGGAACTCGAGCGGGAAGCCAAGGAGAAAGAGTATGCTGATGGTCAGCATCCAAACATGATCGACGGTGTCTAGCATTGCTCGAACTGCGGCTGTCCTGAGGATATCGCCGTGGGACTCAGAAAATGCCTGCTTGGAGACAAGTCGCAGTGCGGTACATGTGGTAAGTAATGGACGCGGCTTTGGCCTCGTGGATGTCGCTGACACTTCTACAGGTGAGTTCTGGCACAGACATCGTCGGCCTCGCCCGGTTGAGTATAACCCAGATCGAACGTGACATCGGAATCTCGTTCTAGAAGCCGACTAAGCACGTATAGCAGCCAAGCGTCTTCAGGTTGACGACCAGTCAGCGAAGGCTGCACCCGAAGACGGCGATGCAGAACCGGAGACTCCTCAGTTGCCAAAAGGCGAGGTCCCTGTGGAGGAGCCTCAGCCGTCCCTCGCTGCCGCGAGGGCGATGTCCCCGATGTCGACTGCCTCAAGCGCTTCGGAGTTGCCACTTGCCCAGCGTGTCACAAGAGCGACCGGTGCAGCCTCTGCGCCTCCTGAATCTGCTGTCCAAGAAAGTAATGGCGATGCGGACGCGAGTGGCGCGGCTCCACCCGCGGGTTCGCCGCCTCAACCGCCGCCGTCAGCACCCCCCAGTACGAACGCGAACGTGGTAGGTGTAACTGTACTTGAACCTTGACGGTCAAGTTCTGACTGGGGTGGACAGAGGGCGTTGATGCCTGAGTGGCTTCAGTGTGCTATGGCGGATATGCAGGTGAAGTACCCAGACGACAGGTTCGAAGCGACGGCTCCAAAGCCAACGGCTCCGAACGCGACCGCGCTTGAATGGCATCTCAACCTCTCGGCCCGCCTCTGGTATGTAGCTAGATAGGTGTGCCTGTTGAATGTTAATGAATGACAAGGAGTAGTTGTACATTGCTAGAACATTGACGTTGCAAATACAAACATGTCACAGTATACAAAGGATGCATTGCAGTAGACTTATTCAGAATCAGAATCACTATCTAATCCTCCCTCAACCTCTGTATCAACAAACAAAGTCCTTGCTTGGTCATCACTTCTGTCAATGATTCCCCACTTATTCCTGGAGTAGACCCTACCAACAACACATTGTATGGCCTTGATATCCAAAATGCGAGGTTTGAGATATGTAGTATACCATGTGAGTTCCTCAGTGGCATCTCTACCATGTGTTTGACATGGTGTGAGAAGAGCAAGAAGAATGGTCTGGTTTGCATACTGATCCCAAAGCTGTCTGTCATTGGATAACTGACAGACAATGATTTGCTCCAGCTGGCCATAATATATCATGCGCTTGCCACTTTGAGTGTCCAAGAACTCATACTGCTACAAATCAGTAGATATTCAATACTGAACAATTTCTTCACTTACTCTTACATAGGATGAATCTCGCTCCTTATGTCCTGAATGAGAGCAATGGATTGTATCTCCTCTTGGCAAGATGCGCACTTTGCCCCATGTTGACATTGACTTTGGGAGGAGTCTCTGAATTGAGCTGACACTACCTCCCACCAGTGCCTGGAGATATACAGCAATAAGTCTCCTGACATTGTTATCAGGCTCATATATCTGTTGATGAGGAGCACCAAGCATAGTTTGTGGATCTACATGTGTTGGGTTACTCAGTAATCAATGATAAGCCTGAAAGAAAACTCACATTTTGGATATAGTCTCTCAAACTTGGTAGGCTTACTTGAGTCTTTTTTCAAAAGACCCAGTTCATTCTGTAGGTCATATCTGACATTGAGCTGCTCTAGATAGGCCAGATTTATTGCCTTGTTGTTCAAGTTTGCCCAAGGATAGCGACGAGACTTCATAGCAGACTTGAGAAAACCACAGAATCTCTCAATGTAGAAGGTCCATGTAGCCCACATAGGCCCAGCATACTCAATATCATCCACTAAGTGGAGAAGGCCATGAACAACAAGAAGGCAGAATGATAACCTCTCAGACTTGTACTGATAGTAGTACTCCTCATATTTCTTGACCCAATCAATGATAGTTGCTCTGAGCTTTGGCAGCTCACTCCTCTTGAGAGTGAATTGTAAAGTTGTCTTCATGATGTCAACCAACTGACACATGTGGATATAATACTTTTCACTGCTGAATCTCTCATGCATGACATATGGAGCAATGTACATGAACCAGAAGGCCCATGACTCTGCTGTATAATTCCCAGAGTCATCTGCAACATTGCCCAACCTCCCAACAAAGCTGGCAGGGATATGCTTCACAGAGTCAACTGTCTCTTGGCCAATCTCTTTCCATTTGTCATGGGATATTTCATAGGACTCTTTTCCAGTATCCAATCCCTTGAATTTCCCAGACCAAGCTTTGGTGAGGTTAGGCAGATTATTCTCACAAAATAGATGCATCCATTCCCAGGGATATGAACGTGCTCTGTCCAGAGATGCTACTCTTTGTAGTACAGGATGACCCTTTACACCATAGTGACGTGCCAATTGAGCTCTATATTTTTTGTAGTAGCAGAGTTCATTGCTTTGATGTGTTTATCAAAATCCTCATCACTTCTCATTACAAGTGCTTGAGCATCATAGTACTCTCCATGTTCAGCTCCATCATCTGGCTTGATAAGTGGAATATAATATGTGTTCCCAAGTCTAGTCCCTCTTATGTAGCATGATCTGCATGGACAGTAGGCATTGTGGCCCTTGATATTCAACATCTTCTCAGTGGCTATTATGTCTCCATGATTGAGGATAACATAGGCATGAAGATCAAAAAATTCCTTCTTGACACAGTCATATGTTGATACCCCAGAAGCCAGTTGGGCTAACTCATCATCCACAGGTATCATGAATGATTGCATGTCCTTAGGGGGCCTGGGACCTGGCAGGATGCCAGTGCATAGACAGTTGCCAAGTTGTGTACGAATCTCTGGGGGTATATTGTATACTTGCAACAAGATTGGTGTTGCAGATGGACCACCCCTGCGCCTGTTGAACAGCAAGAAGCCATCTGTACAGATTGACAATGCAATATCTCTGGGATCAGAGAAATATTTGTGGGATTTCTCTATCCCATCAATGACCACTTTAGTCTTGCATAGTCTCTCATAATGCTCACAGTCAAAGACATCATTGATCATGTCTTCAGACTTTTCAAACTTTGCCCTGTAATTCATCTCCTTGATCTTTCTCTCTGACCTGAAGAACCCTTGGAGTCTGGGTATTATAGGCAAGTAACAAAACTGCCTGAAAGCTCTGCCTGTAGGCTGCTTGCGCAGATGCTCACAGAATGAACACTTTGTATCATCCAGATATTTCCCCAGATATGCAATGCAAGAATTTATGCAACAGTCATACCACACTGGCTGAACTCCAGTTAGTCTTGCCATGTGGTGTAAAATGACCCATTCAGAGTCAATATCCATCTTATGGGAGAAGCTCTCACGCATGTGGTTGAATGCTCTGCGAGGCACATCAAGAATGAATCTCAACTTAAATGCACGGATATTGTCACAATCTTTCTCAGTGAGAGCATAATTCCCTATCAAAATTGTCATTAGTCAAGCATTCTCAGGTAATATGATATGAGATATTACTGATTTCATGGAGTTCTGCCTCATTTTGAGGCCCAAGTCTAGCTTCAAATTTACTTATCAGTTGTGCATCAGTCTGACTCACTTGAGACTCCTTGTCTGGATCATATTCATACCAAGATGCATCAGACTGAGCAGCATCTGAAGCCTGAGGAAATGTCAACCAGTTCAGTGGAATCCAGCTCAGTGGAAGATAAGGACTCACCTCACTGCCAAAACTATCCACATCCATTGAATTATCAGAAGAGCTCAGCTCATGCTCAGGCTCCTCAAGGGCATCTACTTCCATGTGCACTGATTGCTCCCTACTGGAATATTCATTAGAGTCAGATTGACTCATCTCAGCATCAGTTCCAGCATCAGAACCAGACTCCGAGCTATAAATCTCATCTGCATGTCCGAGAGCCATTTGTCTTTTCCTGTGGCGTATCCTCTGCCGAGTACTGAGTAGCTTGTGGCATGAGGGTTTACAGTGACAGTACTTGCGCTTTGACATGGTGCTCCTAGAGGAACACGACAACGATGAAGGCGCAGGCGACGTGGAGGGAGGAGACAAGAGAGCGGTAGCAAACAGGCTGTGTAGACCCCGAGAGCTGTGCGGCGCGCATGTGGCAGCCATGAGGCAAACACGTGCACTCTACGATCACGTGGTGTTTCCTCGGGCCAGTCGCGACCGCGTCACTGCAAACATCTCACCGTCTTTCACTATCCTCTCACTTCTGCGCTGTATCATGCCCTCCAACCGCTCACACCACAGCAAAGCCAATGAGCTCCAAGATCTTGTCCAAGCTGCACATCACCGCCAAGCACGTCATGGACCAACCCGCTCTACAAACTCCGCCAAATCGAAGCCAATTGCTCGCCCAAAAGGTCAGCCGGGACGGGCACCACCCCATGGCTTCAACATCTTCGACTCTTTGCGATTAACTCACACATCAAAAATAAGAAAATCTACAATAAGTGGACGGTGCGCCAGAATATTCACCGTCTGACATCGCAGAGACAACAATACATCATGCAGTACACAACCCGGACATATTGTCACAAATTCCTTGAACCGGGCAAGACATTCCGCGAACAAGATCAGCAAATAATCGCAAATGTCGTCACCCTGGTAAGTCACAGTCGTTCGAGTACTATATGCGCTTGCACTGATTCGGATTGTGCCCCCGGCCTGCTCGCGACTATGTTTAGATCACCTTAAGAGACAAAACCGGACTTCTGGCAACATGTGCAAGCGGCTGGCCCATCCGAGCTTGGATACAGCAAACACTACGCAACTGGAAGTCGCGGAGAAGCATGCAATAGACGACACTGAACTCGACCAATCCGAACAACGCAGGGCAGACATCAATGGCCATCAGACATGGAGCCTGAAGACAAGGGGATGATGTGTCATCGGACAGCGACACGGAGGATGACAGTGATGCAGTAGTTGCACCAAAGTGACCACGAGACGAGGAAGGAGTCAGGAAGACAGTATCGAAGGTATGTTCCACATTTGAGTTCTGCATGTCGCCGTAACTCACGATGTATAGCCGAAACACTCTCAGTCGAACGCTCGCACATCACACAAACGTGAACGAGCTCAAGCAGTAAGTCATTCGCCCATTTTCTATGCGCATACATCCACTCTATGTACGATTAGCACCAGTCGCGGGCATCCCGAAACACGTCGCAGAGAGGAGACAGACTAGGAAAGGCTCCAAAGGTGAGTTAGTCATGATCACCGCGATTTCAGGCCGGGCTGCCGAAGAAGATACTACATTGATTGTTCTATACACGAACAGGTTACCGTACCGACTACAGCAGAAGCTGCTCGAGCACCAACGCAGAGCTCGTCATCACGCAGCAAGTCTCGCGGCGACAGCAAACGGACTGAGCACCCGACAACGGCGAATCTAGATGATGCAGCTTGGGACTCGGGTGACGAAGCCCAGCCTACACGCCCAACCCTCAGCGAGTGCAACGTGGCGTTGTACGTGACTCACCATCACCAAGTCCCATCTTGTCAAGAGCCCCTTCGTTCCTCGAAAACCTCTCCCCTATTCGACCACAGAGTCCGGCACAGACCAGTGAAATCGATCGTGCGCTGGCGCAGCTTGCCGGTATCCGAGAGCGTTCAGACTCGGACCTCGAATTGGAAGCCGACCTCGCTGAAAACACCAGAGACCTACAAGGATATGCCAGCCTCGATGAACACGGTGCCCGAATATGGGCTGTTCGGATGAGGCTCCTTCTGAACCATCGACGAAGCTTGTGAAGATGTGGAAGAGACGTCAGGAGTTGATGAGAGGGAACGAAAGCCGGAGTTAATGCACCTGAATATTGACATCTGCCAACAGATCCGCTACGAAGGCCCACTAACGGACGAGGCGTATGAGAATGGTTGGCTGCTCACGCTGAATGCACGCACGTCTGGGAGCGCCTCAATCACAAGCTCCGTCCAGCACTCGAGCGCGCTATCGAGTCGCCACGAGAGTGCCTTGTGCGACAGCGGCTTGCGCGAACTCTGCAGCAATCTAACATCGGCACCAATGACGACGACGCCCTCAGGAACTCGCGAGCTATGCTCATCGAGGAAACCTTACCACGAGATTGCTGACCGTTTTCTGCACGCGTCGGATAGTAAGTGGCCTTGCTTGCAGTACTTGGTTGCTAACTCGGCCCATTCGTGCATGTAGTTATGGAGAGCAAGGCCGTATGCTTCTGGACATCGCTCTTCGTGCAGCATTCCCCCCAGGCACTGTCGACTCTGAGGCCATCAAGCCTTTTAACTACAACTCTTTCATACGATACGTCTTCATCCCTCATGCTGCCGTTCTTCTCATTGCGGGTGACCGTAACATCAGCGAGAGCGATGCTGATGTCATTCGCATCAAGAGCAGTGCTTTCGGCGACCTCAATCTTCCGGCGGACGCCCGCGACAAGGCCACCTGGCTGTTGAGGCTACGATGAAATGCCTTCACACCTTATTTATCAAGCGAAAGGGCGTGGTAAGTCTGCCGTATAATATCAAGCCTGTATCAGTAATGCCACCTCGTTATATTGTGCAGAGTGCAGAAGACGACCCAGATACACATCCAGCCGAAGTCGTGACTGCCGTGAGCGCCATACACTCTACCCTTCCAGGTGCTCGCGACGGCGACGGTGGCGCAGACGCAGTAGTATCACCAAAGCCGGTCACAGAACATCGTATAGTATCAGAGAAAGCGGCTGGCAAGGCTGTCGCAAGGACACAGCATGAAGAACCCGAGATCCGGACTCCAAATCTCGCAGCAACAGAGCCTCGAGTTACAAGATCGCGCGGTACACGCCGCATCACAGAGAACGACTTTCCCCCTGTGAGATTGTTTACTCCGTGCTCAGGCTGTTGCCACGCTGATATCCGTATGATGTAGCCGCTGCCGCCAAAGCCACGCGCAGCTAAGCGCAAGCGAGCTTCGAAGCCAGATACGACAACCTCCTCACTGCCCAAGTCAGCTATGGACTCGCCGGACTCGGACTCGGAACCTCTCGCAGCTAAGACAAAGCGTGTCAAGATCAATCGCGAGGACTCTAATGTGCATGTCGCACCGGTAAGCAACGAGTCATGTTCTTGTATGAGTTTTGTTTGTGATAGCGACGTCGCTACCTTGATGATTGACTCGCTGTTGCCGTCTTGGTACTATAGGCTCCCTCTGTGTCCGCCGCTGGGTCTCAGAAGGCTCCGAAATAGCATCCTAGAACTGATGTAAGTGCATGTCAATCTCCTTGATGTCTCTGCTGAGCCGTGGCTCGCCCCTATCCCTTCTCTGCGCCTTGTACATTGATCCATGTCTCATCGTCTGCAGCTTATACCCGCCGCCGACTCGTCTCGTCTCCGGGTCAGGCTCTGCAGCCTCTACCCGCCGTCTCATCTCTGCGCGCTTCACCCTACCAACGGCTCGCTTTCGCAACTTCACTTCCACCGCTTTCGCATCCGAGTCTGTACTACTACTAGCCGCCACTGTGCCCGAGTTGTCTCCGCAGGTTCAATCCTACCGGGCCACCGTTATCTCGTCTGTCACTCGCTGCTGTCGACCTCTTGTCTGCCCCTTTCGACTCGCGGCCGTCTCTTGGCGACCGAATTCATTTGCACTGCTTCTCGCTTCAACCTCTCTGGCTCGCTGCCATGTCATCTCGGCGACCGAACTCACTCAAGCTGCTTCTCGCCTCGACCACTGCTCCGCCTCGCTGTCTGTCTTTGACGTGTCCTCTGTTCTATAACTTCCGAGGCTGCCTGCCGCATTGTAAGTTCGGTGACGCCTCCTTGACTCGTGTTCATTCGACTCTATGCCTCGTCGCCAGTCTCAAAATTCTCGACATTCCCGTCGCCTTCCGCAATCACTGATCATGACGAACTGTAAAAGTACTACTGTACGTCGCCATCTCACTGTATTGCTGTCAATGTCTAACTCACCCATTGTCTTGTTCCCTATTCCGACATCGCCATGGCACCGCTGCCGTATACGTGTCATGCTGGTGTCATGCTGGTAGATCAAGTATCACAGCTACAGCAGTAGTTGTATGAGAATAAGAAGGCGTTCTGTACTGCTATTAATGCTACCCATAATCACTAACATCTGGTGTGAATTCCGCGTGAAATTCATCGCAGTTGCACTATGCAAATGACTCGAAAACACGATGGAAAGCATGTAGATTTCACAGCAAAAAAGATCGCGTGCAACGAGAAATTTCAGACATCCAAACGCTCATTTCGTGCAGTCAGACACTCATTTACAATAGACAAAATGTCACCTGGTGAGTGTACGAGAACACTCATTTCCAACACTCATTTTCAATGTTCGACACACTTGCATTGGAAAAATGAGTGCTTAAGGCGCTGAAAATGAACGTCGACAGTCACTGAATTTCATGCTTCCCCCTTCCCACAGTGTAGAGGGCCCCTCGCTGGCGTCCCCGATAAGTACCGCGTACGTGAACAAACTTGCCAGTCGTTCAGATTCACGATAGGTACGCGACACAAATATTGGAGTCTTGTCACATGTTGGGTAGCCTCCCTGGGCAGAGTGGACAATTCCTTCCAGCCTCCGTGCGCTCGCTCGATGTATTCTTGTCTGAGACTTGAGACGATCTGGCACAGTGGCAGTCACTGAATCAGTGGGCGGTTTTCCGAGTCATGTGCACGTCATAATAGAGGCAAATAACGCGCTACGCGACGCGTTTGCGCAAGACAGAGTTCCGACTGCATGTTGACGCCTCCATCGGACCCCTCGGGAGACTCGAGCAACGTTGGTACTTTTGTCCATAGAAGTGTCAAGATCGCATGAGGTAGGTATCATCGAAATCCGCTATATATCATTACCCTTATCTTCAAAGTTCAGGCACTAATCTCTCCCTCTGCCAAATCTTGCTATTCCTTTCTCAAAAGCACGACTCATCCTCTGCACTGCTTGGGTCCTGAATGCTCTCCGCACGCACGCGCGAACCGTACGCAGTTCCTCCCATATCGGTGTCCCGCCAAGCAGAGATAAGAGTAGGAGTTGAAAAGACTACAGTAAGTACTTCTATCCTTACGCCCCTTCTGCGGTCCTTCTCCGCGCTGGCGTTCTGCGCACACAGCTTTCATCAGCTGCAGCGTGCTCACCAACAAGTATTGGGCCATCACCGTTAAGTCCGGACCCGCAGCATGCCGCCCGTGAGCCGCCGGGACAGGTTGTTGCATCTGATCCTTGACATTGACGCCGCATTGTCGACGTCGTCCTCGCCAAGTCCCCGCCGGCAGTCGACGTCGTGGCCATGCCCCCACCGGCAATCCGTGGCCATGTCCCTAATGACACATGTACACCACTCATCGCAGTAGCCCGCTCCGGGTCGTACGTGCAATATCACAGGCGTGCCTGCGCACACGGCAAAGCTGTAGATGCGGCCATACGACAGTCGGATCAATGACTTAAATCCTCAGTAAACAGCGGCGCCGATGCATTGCAATCTCTACACTGTCACTGACAGAGCAGCACTTCTTGGACAGCCAGGACATCGAGGATGACCACGCCGATCCCTTGTCCGCCGTCCTTGCCCTTCCTCGGCCATGTCACTCAGATCGACAAAGAGGTGCCATTACGGTCCTTCATTCTTCTCTCGAAGCAGTATGGCGAGATATATGAGCTCCTGCAGTTCTGTGAGTGTCTGCCACGTAGAGAATATGCGATGACGATTGGATCCGGACGCATACAGCCAGGTCTCTTCTCGTGGTCAGCACGTACGAACTCATGAATGATGTCTGCGACGACAAGCGGTTTGTCAAGAACCCTCAGGGTGGTGCTCTCACGCAAGTGAGGAATGGCGTCGGGGATGGCCTGTTCACCGTGAGTTGCCCTTCGTGATCTACTGTGTCGTGCTCTAACTCTTCAGCGACTGCGCTCTCGCTGCAGGCTCAGCCGGGTGAAGAGAACTGGGAGTTGGCTCGTAAGCTCAGCCTAAAGTGAAGTAAATGCGGGTCCTGACAACAGACGTGTCCTCAGATCGCCTCCTCATGCCTGCATTTGGCACGGGAGCCATCCGAGGGATGTTCGACGACATGTACGATATCGCTATGCAGCTTATCCTGAAGTGGGAACGGTCAGTTTCCGCATCTAGTGACTCCACAGAGTCTCGGGGATACTCACCCAATGCTTGTAGGTTCGGTCCGAGCGTAGCACTCAACCCTGCCGAGGACTTCACCCGACTGACCTTCGATACCATCGCGTTGTGCTCGATGTCTTATAGGTAAGCCAAGCTGAACGAACCGGTCTTCGATGGACAATCCTCGCTAACAGTCCTTTAGATTAAACTCATTCTACAGGGTTAGTGCTTGGCTACTCAACTGAGTCTAGATTCGACGCTCATTGCCTGTACGCCGCCATCCAGGAATCGAACCCGCCGTTCGTCGAGTCGATGGTCGATTTCCTGATCGAGTCCGGCCAACGCGCCTTCCGGCCGTCGCTGGTGACGAACATGATGGGCTATAATGCAAAGTACGAGCAGGACATCAAGGTCATGGCAGACCTCGCCCACGACAGTGCGTGTCTCATTCTGTTTCGTGTCGTGCCGGGTTGGGCCTGTGCTCGAGTTGGAGGTACTGATCTGTGTTGGGTGCAGTCATCGCGGACAGGAGGGCCAACCCGACGGACAAGAATGACTTGCTGAACCGAATGTTGTTGGGAAAAGACCCGAAGACAGGCAAGTCTCTGCCGGATGAAAACATTAAGAATAACGTGTGTCGTCTGAATCCCTCCACGGGTATATGCGCGTCATAACTCATCCTGACACCAGCTATTGACCTTTCTCATCGCCGGTACGCCTCTCTCTCCTTGCTCCGGCATGTAAGACTGACCCCGCTCTCCAGGGCATGAGACTACTTCATGTAAGTCTCCCGCATCCCAGTTATCCATGACACAGCATTGACGCGCAGGACATGCGCCGCCAGCAACGCTCTCCTTCCTGATGTACTTCATTCTCAAAAAGCCCGAGGTCATGCGTAAGCTGCGTGAAGAGATCGACGAAGTCCTAGGCGACGAGCCGCCGCAGATTGGGGACCTGACAAAGCTGCCGTACCTAACTGGTGCGTCTGGCCCTTCTCTCGTTTACACTCGGGGAACCAGAGATGTCACTGACTTGGTGTGGTGTCGATGGATCCAGCGTGCTTGAGGGAGGCCCTCCGCATGGGCCCCGCGGCGCCGATGCGCAGCGTCGAGGTGTGGGAGGACACGACGATCGGCGGGGGCAAGTACGCCGTGAAGAAGGGACAGACCGTCGCCATCTTGACCGCGCAAGCCCTGAGGGACCCCAAGGTCTGGGGCGAGGACGTGAGTCGCATTATTCTCCCCGCAATTCATGTTGACGAGTTTTGTGCGCAGGCGGAGGTGTATAACCCAGAGCGGATGTTGGATGGAAAGTTCGAGGCGCTGCCTGTGAGTGATCTATGCTTCATGGATAGTATTATGTACTGACCCTCCTTCTGTTGTGCTAGCCAAACGCCTGGCAGCCCTTCGGATTCGGCATGCGCGCCTGCATCGTACGTTCCCTCCCTCCTTCTCCCCCATCCCTTCACTAACCTAATTATCACCCCACTCCTAGGGCCGCGCCTTCGCCCTGCAAGAAATGCAGCTCATCGCCGCGCTCATCTTCCAGCGGTTCGACGTGATGATGGACGACCCCTCGTACGAGCTCGTCCTTAAGCAGACGCTCACCATCAAGCCACGCGACTTCCGCATCCGCGTCGCGCCCCGCAAGGACAAGGGCCGCCCCGTCGCTCGCCCAACAGCAGCGTTCCTTCGAGGACATGTGGGTACGAAGGGTGCGGGTCCGGGACAGACGACGGTGAATGGGGTTGCGAATGGAAGTGTGAGCGCGGGGGCGGAGGCGAGGCAACCGATGTATGTGCTGTATGGCTCGAATACGGGGACGAGCGAGACCTTTGCGCAGCGGGTCGTAAACGATGCTGCGGCGAGAGGTAAGTGTTTGGTGGCTAGATGTAGATGTATGCGTGTGTTCTGATAGGCGTGGGCTGGACAGGCTTCCACGCGAGCATGGGCACCCTCGACGCATTTGTGGCCAAGCTCCCGACGGACGGCCCCGTAGTGATCATCACCGCGTCTTTTGAAGGTGCGTTACCCCAGACTCTTCCCCACGCCCTGGTCCGTCTAACACTCAAGCATGATCAGGCGAGCCTGCCGACAACGCTGCGCACTTCGTCGACTGGCTCTCCAACCTGAAGGGCTCGGAACTCGCCAACGTGCGCTTCGCCGTCTTCGGGTGCGGGAACCGTGACTGGGTGCAGACATTCCAGCGTATCCCCATGCAGATCGACGCTCGGCTCGAGGAACGTGGCGCACAGAGGGTGATCGCGCGTGGGGTGGGTGATGCCAGCGCGGGCGACTTCTTCGAGACATTTGATGAGTGGGAGGCGGGCTTGTGGGAGGCGCTGTCAAAGGTGGGTTGGCGACATGTGATGTGGGCTGTATGCTGATTGCCCTGATGGGAATGTAGGAGTATGGCACGGCCGCGATGGGCGATGCGAAGGCAGGCTTGGTGGGTGGGCTAGAGGTGAAGACGGTGGGTGAGGGTACATACCGCGCGTCGGTGCTGCGCCAGCCGGATGCTGCGCTTGGCACGGTTGTGGAAAATACGCTGCTCACTCCCCCGGAGGCTCCGGCGAAGAGGCATATCGGTACGACGGTTCGCGTGCATGATTCCTTTCGTGCCTGACGAAATCTATAGAGTTCCAGTTGCCCGAGGGCACGTCGTACAGAGCGGGTGACTATCTCGCCATGTGAGCCCACTCCGGTATCAGCTTCCAACAGTGCTCATGTATGCTTGCCAGTCTCCCTTCGAACCCACAGAGAGACGTGCACAGGGTGGTCGCTCGGTTCGGATTGTCGCCAGAGCAAGAGGTTCGATCTTCGTGTCTGCCATTTTGGTCTGTCTCACGTCTGCGTAGATCGTCCTGTCATCCAGTGGACCCACGCCGCTCCCGGTTGATCGGCCCGTCACCATTCAAACTCTATTGTCTGGGTATGTTGAACTCTCGCAGCCTGCCACAACGCGGGACATCCGCATCCTCCAAGCAGCGGAGAACGCTCCCACCGAAGCGCTCCAAGCGCTCTCCGCCTCGTACACAGAACAAGTTCTGAACGCGCGCCTCAGCGTGCTCGACATCCTCGAAGACCACCCCTCGATCAAGCTTCCCTTCCCGACCTACCTTCAACTTCTTCCCGCCATGCGCATCCGGCAATACTCCATCTCGTCTTCACCGCTCTGGAACCCGTCACACGTGACACTCACCGTGAGCGTCGTGGACGCGCCCTCGCGCGCAGGGCGGAAAGACGCGTTCCTCGGTGTCGCGTCGACGTTCCTCGCGGGGCTGCGACCGGGCGACCGCGTGCAGCTCGCGGTGCGCGCGAGCAGTGCGGCGTTTCACCCGCCTGCGGACCCCGCCGTGCCAATGTTGCTCTTCGCAGCGGGCTCGGGGCTCGCACCTATGCGCGGGTTCTTGCAGGAGCGCGCGATGCAGAAGAAGGCGGGGCGGGAGGTGGCAAAGAGTTTGTTGTTCTTTGGATGTAGGAGGCCCGGGGAGGACTTGTTGTATGGGGAGACGGACCTGAGGGAGTGGCAGGAGTTGGGGATTCTGGACGTGAAACCGGCGTTTTCGAGGGCGGTGGAGCAGTCGGAGGGGTGCAAGTACGTGCAAGAGTGAGTTCCTAGTCCTGAGGCCTTGTGGGTGAACGTTGACAGGACTGATGTGGGTTTCAGTCGTGCGTGGCTCGACCGCGAGGAAGTCCGGGAGGCCTATAATGCCCAGGCCAAGGTCATTTCTCTGAGGTGAACTGCCATCGCCAAACTGACCAACCGTTTCGACAGTTGTACACCTGCGGCTCTCGCAAGGTCGCTCAGGGCATCAAAGAGGTCCTCACTAAGATCATCAAGGAGGCAAAGGGGATCGACGACACGATGGCCGACGAGATGTTCCAGCATGCCATCAAGGGCAGGTACGCCACGGACATCTTCGAGTAGAAGCGACGCCGCAGCGGGTTGCGCGTGCGCCCTTCGTGAAATAGCGTGAACGTTGTCAAGATGGGATATAGGGTCTGACAGGTGGTTGGTTTTCCGCATATGTCGGCGGATGTGGTGCTCTAATTATGGATGAAGATCTACGTAAGTAGTGGATGTCATACCCTAATTAAAGCTGCCTCACCACCTCAGGCGACCTATGAAATCACTCGCCTCCGTCAACTTACATTGTCAATATCATCATGAACCCACTCCCGCGCATATGACTCTCATTCACTCGTGGAGCAGAATCAGGATCGCACTTCAGGCAGAACCGCTGAAACTCGGGAAAGTCGACCTTCTCATCTGTACGGCCCTCCGCCTCCCATTGTGCCCTGTTGCACGCCGGGTGCACTCGGGTGCACTGCTGGAGTATGCAATCCCCTCCCCCGCCCGCCACCGCTCCAGGACCCCGTCAGCAGGCTCCCCCGTGTCCCTCCGTCCGAGTCGAAGCGCGAGGGAGGGACGAACCGATGCTGTGGCGCGGAGGAGCTGCGAGGGCATCGACTCAGTTGATGGGAGGGAAGCCGTGTCGAATTGCGAATTGAGATAAGTAAGTGTGCGCAACGGAATCTAAGTGTGGGAAGGAACGGGGCGTGTCGATGGGGATCTCGCCGGTGAGGCACATATCGTTTGAAAATGCCTCACGCAATGACCATTACTGGTAACCTTGACCTACAGTTCCTTCGAGAGCATGAGACTGATTTGGGAGATGCCAGGGTTACGGGGGCGCCTTCGCCATCCATGCAAGCTTCGAGATAGGTGAGTACCTCGCCGAGCTTTGGATATTGAACCTAACAGCTCAACACGTCGGCGAAAGTAGACTGGGGCACGTCGCGCGCGCACATCAACCGTACCTGAGTCGAAGGATAACGGAATGTCTACCGCTGCATGGAGCAACTGGACCGAGGACGACGTCAGGGACAGTCTGCGCGCAGATCTGAGCGCACTAGAAGGTCGCCGGGGTGCCCCGACATACTCCGGATGCTGGGCCAGCTGAGCAAGCAGGGAGACTCGACCTCGCCAGACAGTGACGCGAACGCCTTGTGAGCACTCTATTCTGGTTAAGCTGGAGGCCAAGGGAGTGAAGAGGAGCGCAGTGACGAGACTCTGCGGTAGGGTCGATCAGCAGGCGCGCGGGCAATGAGTCGCGTGTCGGTGCACGTGAGTTCCCTAATTTCTGTTAGGCCAGACGCGACTCGACTTCGCGCAGACTGCTGGGCCGCGGCTCGACTGCTCTCGCTGCGTCCGCCGCCACCGACGCGCTATCTTGCGAGCGAGGCGCGACTGCAACTGGATTGACGCGTCCAGAATGGTCTGCGCGATGCAGGCGGTACAAAAGCGGCCGTAAGGGGGGCAAATCATCCTCATCAGGTAGTTCTACGCCTT